AAAATTACGTTCCCAGTCTGGTGGGTCTATTTTACGCAAGTAACATTTAATTTTTAACATGGCCTAACATTGTACTACATGCGGCTGGGGACACTACTTGTGAATTCAAATTCCCACTGAAACTCGGCGCTAAAAGGAGCCACCAATGTTATATTGGGATACGAAGGAACTAACTAAAGACAAAAGTGAAACAGAGATAGAGACAGAAATAGAGAGAGATAGAGACAAAAAAAGAAGGGTACTGTGGAGTAATTGTTATATACCGTACCTATAAACACTAATGGGTTTCTCCCAACCCTCATAAATATGTTGGACACTATTGTAAGCGTGGGTAATATGCTAAGTAGTCCACCATTAGCAGTGGTTTACCTACTTCACGCCGCTGGCGAGTATTGTATTTTGTTGATGTTATAAAGATTACCATTTCATTTCCAACCACCGTTTTGGTAATTCCTCATTCAGTCACCCTTTCCAGGTAACAACATACAGGGCTTGTTGCTTTAATTCAATTTAATTTTAATAATTATATTGATGGTTTCGGTTCTCGTTTTTGAAACATGAGAACTCTTATGTAGCGAAGGAATAATATTTTTTTAAAATAATTATAATCTAAGCTCTACTTCTGTATGGAGCATTGTTTTTTTTTTAAATAAAAACAAAATACTAAAGAACCCTGGATTATTTACCGAACCTGTTTTTCATATTTTCTACATACCTGCACACACACACACACACACACACACACACACACACATATATATATATATATATATATATATATATATATATATATATATATATATAAATGGAATAATAATAATAAAAAAACGAAAGAATATTAATCTACAACCCAGTGTGTCTAATTTTAATTTTTAATTTTCTTATTGTTCAATATATATATATATATATATATATATATATATATATATATATATATATATAAATTAAATTGTAGAATAACCATGGATGATAATGGGTATGTCCTTATTCACATAAATGCACTAATAAATAACGTAAGATGGTCTGCAGTTTGAAATTCGTCTCAAGCTGCGCTGGACGAAATCTCTGCCTCCGTTTTATACGGGGTCTCCATTTTATTAAATGAAGCATTATCAACCTTAATAATAGTTTTTGACTAGTATTTACTTTCATTTTAATAAATGCTCCATTTTGAACCATTATTATTGTTATATACGGTACTTATGAACACTAATTGGTATGCTCCAATTCTCATAAATATTTTAAGCACGATTGTAATTCCTTCATCCTATTTTATGGTATACGGGCCTCTTCAATGTGGTGTAATTATTGTATGTTGTCTTAGTAGTCCACCATTAGCAGCGGTTTACCTACTTCACGAGGCTGGGGAGTATTTTATTTTGTTGATGTTATTAAGATTATGATTTCATTTCAAACCTCCGTTTTCGCTATTCTTCATTCACTAACCCTCTTCAGGTTAAATAGTAAATTAACACGTTCACGAATAACTTTTCGAATTGCCGTACGCGCGCAAACGAACACACGAACACAAACAATACGGAAAAATAACGTAAATCAATAATAAGCGCATAAAAAAGAAAAAAAAAAACAAATAATTTAAGCAATAAATTGCTCATACACCCTGTAAAGTAGACGGACAGGTCCGCCTACGAAACCTTGTATGCTGAGGGTGTCGGGATGCTGAGGGTAACATCAATCAGCTAAGCGTCAAACATTTACTTATATTAATCTTACTTATAATAAAACGCAGATTGTGTGTGTGTGTGTGTGTGTGTGTGTGTGTGTGTGTGTGTGTGTGTGTGTGTGTGTTTATATATTGGATCGGATTTCCTACATTTTTCAACCGATTTCAACAAAACGTAAAATTACCTTGCGGTGGTTCTAACAGCGCCAAAAATTGGAAAAAAACACGATTAAGAGGCATCACGAGAATGAAAGGGGGACAACTAATATCGATATTATAAAACCCAGGTTGTTTTGTGTGTGTGTGTGTGTATTCGTTTATATATGCGATCGGATTTCCTAAATTTGTCAACCAATTTCAACAAAACTTCACTTTTTTTGGCAGGTAGTGTTTCTTATTGTCTTCTACACTTTTTTTTTTGTTTTTACATTCAGAATGCTTTAAAAATTCCATTTACAAGACAATTGTTTATAATAAAATTCTATTCAATCGGTAGAGACTCATTACGATTGAAAACAATGTTTTTGTTTGAGTTTGGGTTTGACCAATTCGTAAAAAACAAAAAAAAAAACAAAAAAAAAAAAAAATAATTAAGACATGCATGTCCGTCAACCTTAAACAATAATCTTTGTCAATTTTATTTTTCAGTCATTATGATGGTTGATACTTGATCTATCGCTTACTGTTACATCCCCGGGCAACGCCGGGCTCTACTATAGTCATTATATATATATATATATATATATATATATATATATATATATATATAGATAGATAGATAGATAGATGAACACACACACATATATATATAAAAGAGAGAAGATGAGGAATAAATATATATATGCATATATATATATATATATATGTGTGTGTGTGTGTGTGTGTGTGTGTGTGTATTAGGAATGGATTATTCATGTATTAATCTGACATATTTAAATTTTTAAATGTTAAGACGGGAGATGGAAATAATTTTTAAATGTTAAGACGGAGATGGAAATAATTTTTAAATGTTAAGACGGGAGATGGAAATAAATAATTATATTGTTTAATAAATAAATAAAAACAGAGGATCTACTCAGATAAGAGTATCCATTAAAAAGATATATATATAATTCTTTTTGTGGATGAGTTTTAATATTTTATATTACTAGGATCCACTTGGATTATATACCAACGGATTTTTTACCTTTATCATATATATATATATATATATATATATATATATATATGTGTGTGTGTGTGTGTGTGTGTGTAGAATAGATAGATGGATAGATAGATAATAGTGATCAGTATATATATATATATATATATATATATAGATAGATAGATAGATAATTGATAATATTAGTGGAAAATATACATACATATGCAAAATATATATAAAAATACCCATACATGTATATTTTCAGAAAAAATTTTCCAAGAGGATAGAATCCAGGTAGAACTCAATGTCGTCCAGGACAGAGTAAGGATATAATAAAAAGGCTTAAACACTAATATTCCATGGTCATAATTTATTCCATTGGAATCGTAAATACGATCCAATTCATCAGACCTACAAATTCAAAATGAAAACAGAAAAAACAACTCCGGAAATCAAAAGAGAATTTAGAGAAAGTGTAAGTATGAGGAGGAGGGAGATGAAACCTTAACAGAGAGAAATTTAGGAGATGGGGGGGAATCAAAAGAGGAGAGAAAGAAAGTCGACGGATGTCTAATGCATAAAGATACATTTCGTGGTGACATACACACACCATAGACAATTAGAAGTTAGGATAGGAGGTAGGGGGGAAGAAAGAGAAGCGGTGGGGGAGAGAGATGGGACGAAGGAAAATATATATATATATATATATATATATATATATATATATATATATTTGCGATGGACGTCATTCTGTAAAATATGGGTGCAAAAGAATACCCTCGAATGTAAACACATGGCTGAAATGATAAAAAAAAATTAACAACTCAGGAGAAGAAAAAAATCTAACTTTTTGAAATGGCTAACTTGAAAAAATAAAGCGAATATAGACAGCAGGGCGACGAACGAACATTTAAAGAATATTTCGTTTATGAGAAAAACAGATATAAAATATCGCAGATAAATAAAAATGAAATAAAAAAAAATAAAAAAATAAAAACAGCAGCATTAAATAACGAGACCACAAAATATTTTTCCTTTTTCTTTGTCGGCTATTTTCGCTTCAAGGTGACATCTTGATCCTTCCACAGAGTTCGAGAACCAAATTTGGACAAGAGTAGAGGTCAAGAGTAGACAATATTTTTTTTTTTTTTATCCTATGCCTTTTTATCTCGCTTCGTGGTGGGAATGGTGTATCAGGTGAGTCGGTGTCTCTCTTTTATTTTGCTCTTAAAAACACGCCCCTTATTTTTTTTTTTTTACTAACCTGTTTCCGCTTTGATTTCCTCTTTTCTGTTCGTCTTCACAAGGCCGGCGTGTCAAGAAGTGTTTGGTCTCACAGGGATGAGAGGAAATCTGTTTGGCAAAAACAATTGGTGGGTTCGAGCTGTAAGGAGACAATGTGATGTTTGTGGGTTGGCAGTGCAGAAACCGGAAGTGATCATCGTCCATTTTGCCGTAAAATTCTGTCATTTATCCATTTGTTCCCTTTCATATTTTCCTTTTACTTCTTTTTGTTTAATTTTATATTCTCTGTTATTTTCTTAACGGCACTTTTTTTCTGTTTGTTTATATCATTCGTTTTGATTTGTTTTATTTTATTTTTCTTTCAGCATCCTTTTTTTGTTTTCATTTGTTATAAAGTACTTTTACCTTTCTCCTTTTAGTCTGGTCTGATTATTTCTTTCTTTTACTAGTCAGAAATAATTATTTCTTTCATTCTTTATTTTTATATTGTTTCGAAATAGTTCTTTCCATCGTTCATTCTTGTTCTTTTGTGAAAAAGTTATTTCCTTCAATATTTTATTTCTTTCTTTTCTTCAGGCTATATTTTCAGTTTTTATTTGTCTATCTTTCTTTCTTTCATTCTTTCTTTCCGTTTTTAAATTTTTTCCTATCTATTTTCATTCTCATTTCTTTCTTTCTTTAATTTCTGACTGTATTAATTCATTCATTTTTCTTTCTTTCTTTCTTTTCATTCTTTAATTTTTTTTCCTGTCTTTCTTTCATTCTTTCCGTTTTTAAATTTTGTCCATCTATTTTCTTTCTCATTTCTTTCTTATTTTAATTTCTTTCTCATTTCTTTCTTTCTTTTTTTAAATTTCTTTCTCTTTTCATTCATTTATTAATTTTTTCTTCTTTGTCCATTCTTCCATTGCGTTTTTTTCCGTCTAGTTTAATTCTAATTTTTTTTTTAATTTCCGACTGTATTCTTTCTTTCTTTTTTCTTTCTTTCTTTCTTTCTTTCTTTCTTTCTTTCTTTCTTTCTTTCTTTCTTTCTTTCTTTCTTATAAACTTCACTTTAATAACCCTCGACCTTGAGTTGTTCGCAATTTATAAAAAGTTAAATTTAATCGAAAATTGTCTGTATCTCATTCATGATTTATTCCATTGCCTCGATGACACACATATATGATATAATTGTACATTTAGGCAGCAATCTTTCGTTTATGCATGTTTCATTAAAAACGACAAACAGGGTATTACGGTTAAGCTTTTTATTTAATTTTTCATGTATTCGAACAAGACCTTTCATTTCTGGACAAAGAGAATGTAAAACTGTCCAAATCATATCATATCATAATTATATATTTTATTTGGCTCCTATTGGGTTAGTGCATAATTATCAGGCGTTTTTTAAACAATATTTATTATGAAAAAAGAAGCAACAATTCAACAATAATATTTTTAAATGAGTATGATTATCGACACGCATTTTTATAACCTGAAAATAAAATAATATTTGTATTAAAAAATTAAGCAAAACAGCGATTTTTATTAACAAATAACTCACCTACAAAAACGCCTGATAATTATGCACGAACCCAATATTTATTCTTTATTGTTATAAGATGAAGCATTATCAACTGTTACTATTAGTTTTTATTTCGTATTTAGGTTGTTCGTTTTTGTTAGATTATGCATTAGCAAAAATTTACATTAAATTTTAACTTATTCATTTTTATGAAATGAAATATTATCAAGTATTTTCAGTCATTTTTAACATGTATTGGTTTCGTATTTAACACGTATTAGATGTCGCATTATCAAACATTATAGTTAAGTTTGAATAGTATAAAATTTCCTTTTTATTTTTTTATTGAATGGAAGCATTATCAGCAAATTTATAATAATTCTTCTAGAATTTACTTTGTCCTACACCACATATGAAAACAAAATTTTCACTTGTATTTATATTTAAGAATGTTTATAAAGCATTATTACTAACTATTATATTATAATATTATTATATTATATTATATACTAGCAGTAGATCCCGGCGTTGCCCAGGGATGTAACAGTAAGAGAGAGATCAAGTATCGACCATCATAAAGACTGAAAAATAAAATTGACAAAGATTATTGTTTAAGGTTGACGGACACGCATGTTTTAATTAGTTTTTATTTTTTTTACGAATTGGTCAAACCCAAACTCAAACAAAAACATTGTTTTCAATCATTATGAGTCTACCGATTGAATAGAATTTTATTATAAACAATTGTCTTGTAAATGGAATTTTTAAAGCATTCTGAATATAAAAATAAAGAAAAAAGTGTGCAAGACAATAAGAAACACTACCTGCCAAAAATAAGTGAAGTTTTGTTGAAATCGGTTGAAAAATGTAGGAAATCCGATCCCATATCTAAATGAACACACACACACACAAACAACCTGGGTTTTATAATAAGTATAACTTGATATGAGTTGTCCCCCTTTCATTCTGGCGACAGAATCGTGTTTTATTGTGTTTTCAAATTGATTACATGCAAAAACAATTGCTTTTCCAATTTTTGGCGCTGTCAGAACCACTGCAAAGTAATTTTATGCAGTCCTGTGAAGTTTTGTAGAAATCGGTTGAAAAATGTAGGAAATCCAATCCAATATATAAACGTACAGACACACACACACACACACAGACACACAATTTGCGTTTTATAATAAGTAATATATATATATGTATTATTATATTGTATTATATTATATTATTATATATTATTATATTATATGATCATATTATAAACCAGAATTATTAAATAAACGTTTGTAAACCACTATTGTTTATTTTGCTTATTATATTATATATATGTATATATATATCTATATAGTAATATCGTATTATATTATTATATATTATATTATTATATTATATTATCATATTGTAAACCATTATTATTAAATGAGTGTTTATAAGCCATTATTATTCATTTTGCTTATTATATTATTATATTATATATATATATATTATATTAATATTATTATATATTATATTATCATATTATAAACCATTATTATTAAATGAATCTTTATAAACCACTAGTATTTATTTTGCTTAGTATATACTTTTCAGCCTCAAGATTTTTTTTCAGCATTACCAATCATTGTTATTAATGGTGTTTAGTATTTATTTCAGTTTTATTTCAAATAAAACATTATCAACTATTATTATTAATTCTTGTATTTTATTGCCTTTTTTATCAGATTGAGCATTATTAACTGTTATTAATTTTAAATTTATGCTTCCTTTCATTTTCTAGTTTTAGTTGGGTTTTTTTTCTACCAAAATCAATATAGAAAGGAATACCAGACATGGTTAATAATTATTGTTACTAATGCCTAATCTACGGCGAATTGGCTGAATATGCATCCGGCCGAGCTCCGTCCTAAACGTCTAAAGATTACAACTTTTAGAAGGGCTTCTTGATCGGGACGAGAAATTACGATTAAGCCGTTATAATCAAAAATATATAAATAGGATAAAAAAATGATGCTTATATTAATAATTTTATCCATATGTTTACACCATTAGTATATTCGAAAACACCAATAGTCTGTAAACAAACGTTTTAGTTTATTTAATTTTCTCACCCGTTATTATGAGAATTTTCACTAGTGTTTACTTTCAACTTCATTTTTAATTAGGTAAAGTATTGACAACCATTATTTTTAATTTTTGCTAGGGACTTATTTTCGTCTTCATTTTTTTTATATGAAGTATTGTCATTAATTATTAGAAATCTTTCGTAATTTTTGTTTAAATGTTGTATTTCAATAGTTATTATTAATTTTTGATGAGTATTAACTTTATTGTCATTTGTTAATAGATGAAGTTTTATTAATCATTGTTATAAATTTTTGACGGGTGTTTACTTTCATCTTCATCTTCATCCGGGAGCATTATTATTTTGAAACATTATTATTGTTATATACCGTACTTATGAACACTAATGGGTATGCTCCAATTGTCATAAATACTTTGGACACTATTGTAATTAATACAAGAAATTTCCTCATCCTATTTTATGGTATACGGGCTTCTTCGACGTGGTGTAATTATCGTATGTTGTCTTAGTAGCCCATCACTAGAAGTGGTTTACCTTCTTCACGCCGCTGGCGAGTATTGTATTTTGTTGAAGTTATAAAGATTATCATTCCATTTCCAACATCCGTTTTGGTTATTCCTCATTCAGTAACACTTTCTACCATATAACAATTATTATTTTTAGGCTAATATTTATTTTCATTTTAAGTTGTTATTAAATATATCTTTATTAACAGTTTGTTGTGGTACGATCCACCTAATTTACATAGTGGAGTACCGACCATATAAATATGGTTGGTACCGGGAAGACGGGGAAGGAAGAAGAGATCCAATCCATAGACTCTGCCCGACTGCGTCTAAGTCAACCCTTTCTACAGGAACGGTCTTCCCAAGAATATACCAAACTATCTGTAAATATTGTGTACACGTTCTTGTTTCAATACATTTTGTTTAAGTACATTTTGTGTTGTATTATTATTATTCCATGCTTTATTCAAGTTTCAACTCAGTTGCTATTAATTTGGTGGGGAGTATTTACTTTCATGTTCATTTTTGAGCTGTGTTGGATCCCGAACCGCATAAGAATTGAAGGAAGTGACCAAGCGGTTTCAATCACAGAGTCTGCCCAAAAACGAAGCCCATGAAGATAGTCTCAACATTCCTTGGACGCGCCTAAAGAATTAAAATAAACAGTTGAGTTCAGCAGAAATGGCAGAAGCGAGGGACAATTCTGGGTGAATTGAGGCTAAATGTCGGGGAAGGAGGAAAGGACGAAATAGCGCTGCCTCAGCTGCACATGAGCCAAATATAACTCAACCGTTCATTCTTTCTTTGCTAAGCTGCATTCACGTAGTGATGCATTTTGTTTGAATGTACTCACCTGGCCCCTATAAGACACAAATACTACAAGGAGAGCAACATTTAAAATAGCTAAAACCGTCAACATAATACCATACGTTCAAGGATTAAGTTTATAACACCTGCAATAGATCATCCAGAAAATATATATTTACTAGCAGCATGGCCCGCCGTTGCCCGGGCTTGATTCAAAAATCGTACGACTCATACAGCAATCGCTATCACTTGACTTAAAACATTTTTGCCCTTCCTTGCCTTTAAAGGAATGCCCTTTGCCGTGTTGATGTTGCTACATGCCTTACTTCTTGTCTATCCCACACTGCGAATTTTTTCTAAGCTCTATACTAAACATTAAATCTGTTACGAAAAAAGAACTAAACAAAATGAACACAAAACGATCAGCTTTAAAAAAAGAATGTTAACAACAAATACTTTTTCACACCCAGCCCAGTACTGCGGAATCAGAATCAACGTTGAATTTAAGCAAGCGAATGAGCCAATTGGAGTAAAGTGCCATGCAGATTAAAAATTTTCCAACGTGTGACCAATGCAGCTATCGATTTTTTTTTGCATGCTAGCATGCTAGTTAAGATTCGTGTCAGTCAGCTGTTGGTTCTCACGCTGGCCAATAGAATCTTCCTGCCTATTCGTGGCAGCCAGCTATAGGCACTCACTCTGGCCAGTAGAAAATGGCTGCAAACTACATGAAAACTGCAGTAGAAGCATGAAAAAATCGATTATTTCCACTATCGATGGGAGTTGGGAAATGCAAAGTCAGTCTTGGCCTTTCCGCTAACTTGGAGCATGTGCATGTAAATTTTGGTGCAAATCCGTCGAAAATTGCGGCCGTGCATTTATTACACACACACACACACACACACACACACACACACACACACACACACACACACACATCCTGTCTTTTATAGATAGAGATAAAACGTACGTTTACCCTGAAAGTGTTATATTACGTGCATAATATCTGTGGTGGAAACCATGAAATTGCGTATAAGATATCTGTGGTTGAGACAATAAAACTGAGTAAAATATATTTAAATTTCGGCATTAAATAACGGATAGAGGTTGATATACTGCTAAACTAAAAACAGCCATGCTAGAAGTTGTCTTGTTAATGCATACGGTA